AAAAAAAAAAAAAAAAAAAAAAAAAAAAAAGGTAAAGTAATGAGAGCCCAGATGCATGACAGTCAGCAATCCTCACTTGGTTGACAAATGGGAAGAGAATAGCAGAGTTTGTGTTTGTTACAGTGCAGGTTGGGGTATATAGCTAAGTGGTGGACTCCTTGCCTAGTATGCACTACACTAGGCCAGGGTTGGATCCCCAGCACTGAAAAAAGGGTGCACTTTCTTACCCCATATGTGTCTGATTAAACTTGAAAAATACAATTTACAATTTTTTTTTTGTACTGGGGATTGAACTCTGGGTCCTTGTGCTTTCAAGGCAGTCGGTGAAACCACTGAGCTAAATCCCCAGCCCCCTATAATTTACATTTTTTTTTTTTTTTTTGTACTGGGGATCGAATTTGTTTGTTTTTTTGAGACAGGGTCTCACTATGTAGTTGAGATTGACCTGAAACTCACTATGTAGTCCAGGCTGGTCTCGAACTCACAGTGATCCTCCTACCTCACCCTCCTGAGTGCTTGGATTACAGGCGTGCACCACCATGCCCGGCTAGAGACTCTTGAGTTAGATCTAGAATGTATGTTTTTTAAAAACTAGTTTATTTTTTTGAGCATGGGTTTCCCACCACACTTTGAGGGACACTTAATTGTGAAAAATAAGGAATATGGCCTGTGTGTCTTTATATTAAACACAAGTTAGGGGTAATGGCAAAGGAAAAGTGCTTAAGGACAGGTGGAGTTCAGGGAGAGCTCATTCAAAGCAACTGTTACCTCAGTTTGGCTTGCTTAACTGGTGCTCCCTGGAGACTAGATCTTTCGTGAGTACTTAAGATGACTGTGTGGCTAAAGTTGGAGATGAGGAGGGCTGCAGCTTTAAGATAAAAGATAACACAGAAAACTGATCCTTTTCTTGTCTCGAAAGTTTAAAGGACCTGTTTTGCCAGGGAAAAAGGCCATGCCATCTCTGTGTTGAGCTGAAGGCAGGTGGAATGAATACATTGTATGTATATCAAATCTTTTTGGTTCATGAGGTACATCTGTTTAGACTTAGGCTCACAGTGAATCATTTTTTCAGTGAAACTAAGCACAGCAGTATTCAATTACAGGATACTAGCTTGAGAAACTTCCATAGAGTTTGAAGAGAAATAGCATAGTTTTGAGAGAGAGGGATGCTGAATTTTGAGAGATAGAGAAAAACATATCTTTATTGGGAAAACAAGATCCTAATTTATCAACCTTCCTAATATTAATAGCATTTTTTGCTACTTAGAAAATTTACCAAGGGTTAGGGCCACTTATCATAGTTGGTGCCCTAAGATATTCTTGTGGTATTTTGGGAAATAGAGTAAATGAAGCAGCTTTGAAATCAGTTAAAGACAGGATAAAACTGAGTTTGTTAATGTTGTTTCTTTTGATACTCTGGAGAAGTCATTTTAAACCAGGATTATTTATAACATCTCAATCTCATGTAGTAAGTAGGGTGCTAGAGGAGGGTTCCAAAGTACCTGTGTGCTGGCATCTCTTTTGAGAATATCCTTGTTTAAGTGCCTTTCCTGGCTCTCTTGGCGTATTGTTTCCCTGTACCTTGATGCCAAAGTATTCCCTCTAGCAAACAGAAATGAGGGAAAAAACCAAATGATTATTGAAGGAATCTGCTGCTTGCTCTTAGCAATGTTTTTTGCCTTCTTATGAATGACATATTTGTGTAATTTTATGTATTTTATGGATTCATATTATCCACAAACTGAGACAGAAAGAGGGTGTATTTTAAGCATGCTTGTCATGGTGTCTCATAAGAGTTTCTATTTCAGGCACAAACAGAGGCTAAAGAAGCAGAAATGAGCAGGAAGGAGTTGGGCCTTGATGAAGGAGCCAATAACTTGAAAGCACTCATTCAGGTAAACTCAGCAGGATGTTTCCACTTTCAGAGTCTGACTCCTATTGCTAGTGCTTTCATAAGAGTATATAAATGGCGCTGTATTTTGTTTTAAGATACAACTCACACTTTTTTTTTTTAAAGAATGTATAAATCAGGGCTGGGTATGATAGTGCACAGCTGTAATCCCAGCACTTTTGGTAAGCTGAGGCTGAAAGGTCACAAGTTTGAGCCCAACCTCAGCAGTCTGATTTAGTAAGACTCTGTCTCAAAGTAAAAAATTTAAAAAGTTCAGGTGGGGCCGGGTGTGGTAGCACACACCTGTAATCCCAGCACTCAGGAGGCTGAGGCAGGAGGATCGCTGTGAGTTTGGCCAGCCTGAGCTACACAGTGAGTTCCAGGTCAGTCTCAACTACATAGTGAGACCCTGTCTAAAACAAACAAACAAAAAGTTCAGATGGGTTCAATCACAAGCCAGTACTGTGCAAAAGAAAAAGAAAAAAGAAAAATAATGTACAGTTTAATATACTCACACTGGAGTTGTACAACCATTACCAGTAATTCTAGAATATTGTCACCATTCCAGAATAAACTCTATCCACTGGCAGTCATTCCCTGTGTTCCTTTTCCCCCAGTCCCTTTTAACACCATTAAGTACTTTCTGTCTCTGTGAATAATGTTTTGAAAGCTGTGTTTTAACTTCTCAGAGCAGACAGAAGGATCGGCAAAAGGAAATGGACAGTTTTCTGGCTCAAATGGAAGCAAAATACTGCAAATCTTCCAAAGGAGGAGGGAAAAAAGCAGCCCTCAAGAAAGAAAAGAAATAACGGAATTTTTCTCTTTAAAGGTCCTAAGGCATCAATTGATGCTATTGTAGGCAAGGTATATTCAAGATTTGAAGGCAGAGTTAACCTAACCCTTAAGAGAAGTTGTCCTTCCAGCCTAAATTATTTAGATTGACTAAACCTAACAATTTCTCAACCTGGTCTTAGATTTCCTAGAAATCATCTGACATCATGAGAATCCCTCACAGGAAGGAATGTGGCCATGATAGTTGGGAGGGCAGTGTCTTGGGAGCTCCCTCTAGGAGATGGGTCTGTCCATCCTGCTTTCAGTGATGTGCACATCTGGGAACCATACTACACCTGGCTAGAACAGAGTACTTGCTGAACAGGTAGCTGTCTTCCAAATAATTGCCAGCTTTCATTTGGTTCTAATGATCTTAAATAGACTCTCTGTCCTTTTTATTAGTCAGGTTTTGTACTCTTATCCTTAAATTAAAGGAGAAATAGGTATTTAGATTACTTCAAACATTTTTGTAAAGTTGTGTGTGATTAAATAAACAAGTAAAAAAAAAGTTCTGGTGGCTTTTTAAATGATCCCATTGATCATTTAAAATGTGATCTAGAAGAAATATGAATGGTATTTAGGGTAGACAAAAAGATTTTTTAAAATTTCTAGTCAGCATTATAATAGCCTGCATAAAGAGCTCTTGTTTCCTCCTCTGTAAGAGTTAACCCATGGTGTCATATCAGACATATAATTTTGGTTTCATTTCAAGAAATAAACTGCACTAGCTTTGAGAGAACACAGGCAAAAGGGTAAGGAAGGGGCTGGGGATTTAGCTCAGTGGTTCCACCACCTGCCTTGTGAGTGCAAGGACCGGACTTTGATCCCCAGTACTTAAAAAAAAAAAAAAAAAAAAAAA